AAATAAAATTTCCTTTTAATTCTTTAAATTTGAACTAAAAATTTATTGACTCACTCGCGTTGTCGTTCTTATCTTCAAAGCAATTAGGATTAGCTAACATTAGCTAACATTAGGTAAATAGAATAATGTCACCTTAGGGGATTTTCGTGTTTCGATTAATGAACGATAAATACAAGTGACGACTGCAATACTTGATATCCCTCACTGTCCACTTAATGGATTTGGTTTATTGTCACGTTTTGTACGTACGTACGTACGTATTTATTTAGATTAAATGATGCATAAAAGCGTTTTGTTAAAAACCCGGTAAAAATGAGAAAACCAGCTAAGATTTTGATCACTGACACGGTTAATAAATTCCTGCTGAAGAATAGTAGCAACACTGCGTCTTGAACACACGGCTATTTGAAAAACTTTGACACAGTTTGAAATGTCGATTTATTTTTTGTCTAAATAAGTAATATTAATAATGTAAAAAATATAAAATCTGCAAATATCAATATACTTGTATTTCAGCGATAAAGCGATCAGTGTCTAATCTAGTCCTTGGGCCTGGATAAATGACCGGACATGTTTTATTTTGTGATAGATATTTATTTTCTGTGAATAAGTTTATTTACTAATTAAAACATTGTTGATAAGGAATAATATGGTATGTTGCTTTTCTGAATTACGGTCAAATTTCGCAACCTAGACGACTACTGGAAGAAATAATTTTTCGGTTGTTGTTATACAATTATTTTTTAAATCTTTAAACCATAACACAATAAAGCTGCATTAAAAACATATAAGTTATTTAATTAAAATATATTGCAACTCGAGTCGTGAGTATCGTGATGATGCTGGGTTTTTATCAAAAGCCTTATTTTATTTTTTCGTAAAAGTTTTGCTGAGCACGGGCCCCTGTCGTCGTATTTCTTTCGTGTGTCGTTGATTTGCTCTTGGCAGACTGATTAACTATCGCATTACCAAATGTCCTTTTGACGCTGCTGTTAGTTGTGGCTGTGGGTTATGTAAAAAACCTGATCACTTCTATTTTTTTTAAATAAAAAATGGATGTCCTAAAACTAAAAATAAGCCCCCTTAGAAATAATTAATACAAAACTATAATGTTCTAACGTACGGAACATTATAGTCGAATTATATGTTTCAGAATATAAGTTACTTTCATCAGATTTATTGCAATTCAATCAACTATTTATTAGTTGTTAAAGCTTCACGGTCCCACTTGTTTAATATTGACTGATATGGGATCAACTGGTGTTACTGTTTCAGAGATCGTTTCGATTTTATTTTATATCTCAATATTGTTATCGATTTATCATCTTTCATCATCATCATCATTACAGCCCTTCACAAGTCCACTGCTGAACATAGGCCTCCCCCAAGTAATGCCACAAAGCACGGTCCTGAGCCACCTGCATCCATCGACTTCCTGCATGTCTTACCAGGTCGTCACTCCATCTAGTGGGGGGTCGCCCTACACTACGCCTACCGGTACGAGGCTGCCACTCGAGAACCTTTCTTCCCCATCGGTTATCGGTTCTTCGAGCTATATGGCCGGCCCATTGCCACTTCAGCTTACTAATCCGTTGGGCTATGTCGGTCACTCTGGTTTTACTGCGGATATCCTCATTTCTGAGTCTATCACGCAGAGAAACTCCAAGCATAGCCCTCTCCATAGCTCGCTGAGCGACCTTAAGCGTCCTCATATTCATTATCATCTTTATATATGTATAACTATTCTGTCCCGTTTTCTGTATGTGACTGAACTTCACCTAAACGGCTGAACTGATTTTGATGAAATTTTGTGTCTGTGATTATGTTGGTTAGTTTAGATTCACAACTGGATCCGGTAGGTGGCGCTTGTCGAGATCCAGAAATCGTCCATGTGAAGCCGGGGTGGATCATAAGTTTTACTATATTATACTTAACATTAAGGGGCTTACAGGAGCTAAACGCAAGTTTTATAATGCCACAAAGTATATGATCCACTGGAGTAGTTAAAACTAGAAAAATATATGATATTTTTCTGGATGTTTCCTAGTTAGGTATTGTGTTGAAAACATAATATTACTAATTTGATACGATATATATATATATATATGCATTCATTCTGATTTTTTGTCAGATTATTATACAAACAACATATTAACGTTATATTGTTTTAATTTTTTTGTCCAACTGATTTCTTTTAAATCGCGTAGTTCTTATTTCCGAAATAATACGTACGCATGTGTGCGTAAACGCCTGTGTACAGACAATGCAGTCCGAAGCCAGATGCTATATAGAGGTGTCGCCCTTTTTTCCGCTGTATTTACGTTAAGATTATTTAATGTATTTGTATATTGTTATTTTTAAATTCATTGTTTCATAAATATTTTTTCCATAAATATTCCTTTTTCGTGTCGATATAAAATATTTTATGTTAAAATTGCTGTCTAAAGTACTTTGTTAAAAATTATCATTTGTAAATATGGGACATAAAGTGAAACACGTTACGAAGAGTAAAAAACGTTCATGTAAATCAAACGCCTAACATACGAACGATATTAAAAGGTAAGAATATTTTATTATTATTAAATATTTATTTTTATAACAATAAATCTATGAATATATTTTAGCAACGTAGTTTATTACAGTAGTCTTTGGGTATTCAACCAACGTGTATTTAGTAGAGGTATGGATTTGCAATTTGCAATCGAGAGTGCCCAGGTTGGATTCCAGGAATATTAAGTCAAATTTTCTTTTTTTGTCTTTTATATATATTTAGATAAATTATTTAAATACTTTAATAAATGAATTAAAATGAAATGTAATTATTTTTTAAACCTATGAATTTAAGATACGTAGTTTACTACAGTAGTCTTTAAGTATTCAGGCAACGTTTATTTGTAGAGGTATTGATTTGCAGCTCGAGAATACTCGGGTTCGTATCCAGGAATGTGAAGTTAAATTTTCTTTTTGTGTTCATATATTTAGTATTATAAATTAAGATAAATTTACTAAACACTTTGATAAATAAATAAAAAAAGTTTGAAATATAATTATTTTTAAAGGAGAACGAATAAACTTTCTTTCTCAACCAAATCCATATCAAAAATATCAACATGGTATTTATTTCCAATGCATAAGTACCTACAACTTTTCTAGGCTATAATAACAATAAAAAATTAAAAATACCTGATGTTTTTGTTAAGATAATAAACATATTGAAATAACAGAATCATCTGAAAATAATTTAGTTTTATTTATTTTATACCTTTTAACATTTTTTCAAAGTCAAATACAAAAAATATAATGAAATGCAAAATTAGCAATCTTGTGAACCATAGAACAAAATCTTTAGAATTGACATTTCTACGTAATTTAAAATCCTCAATTTTTTTTAGATTCGAAACAGTGGAACCACAGGAAAATCATTACCAAATTATTAATATAAATACACACACAATGAACTCATAACGATTCATAAAAAACGTTGAGAATGGAATCGCACACAGAGGAGCGCGCGCACGTGTAGTTTTTTCCCATAAATAACATTATAAAGCCGACACTAAGTGTGAAATAATGTAAATCTAAATAAACCCTTACGTAAATCGTAAAGATTTATAAACTTTGAGATTTTAGAGATTCTTAAATATTTTTTTTAAGTTTCATCGAATTAGTTTTATTTAAAAATCACCTACATAGCTACATTTTCAAATAACACTCAAATTAAAAATAATTTAACTGTCCTATCTATTTTTTATTAGTTCTGTATCTTACTTGCGCTCTATTTATTAAAATACTCGGTCATAGCCTCGCTAATTTGTTAATTTAAACTCACTGTCGTTAGATGACGTTCAAGTTTATTGTGTAAATGCGTGCGTTTATCATTCGAGGTCACTTAGCTCTTGTAGTCCCCTTAACATTGTAGTGTTTCGATAAGATCGTTGTCGTTTGTGTTAAAAATCACAAATTATTTTATTTGGGTTTAACAAGGATAAATGGCATTATACTTGTAGGGACGTAGCTTTGCTCTGGAAGTTACTCCTCACTAGACGGTAGCACGGACTTCTTTTCCCATAAGAATGTGTAAAAGAATGTGATAAACATTTAATTATGGAATAATTTTTGACAAATAAATGTTAGTAATCCTATTAATTGACATTACTAATATTCCCTTTAACCACTCTTGGTAAGCTGAAAATGCTTGTGTTAGGAGTGGTTCACGACAGTAGTCGAATGGTGGATTCGAACCGGAGACCTTTTAGTTCGCGATCCACGCCCTGCCATTAGGCTACTGTCGCTTAATAATGATACAATATTTAATTTAAACTTTTGTTTACAGACTCTGAAGAATTTCGTATTTCAGTGAATTGTAAGTAGCGAGCACCTCATTTTAATAAAACTTATAAAAGGGTTACATTTATTAAGTACTTTGGAAAAACCTCCTCCTCCATTCTGGCGGTACTTTATTCTTTAAAACTATTAATTGAATGTGTAAATCTAAACGGCCGGCATTGTGACTGCAGGAGCTAAATTATTGCCGAGACGATAGTATTTGGATAATGGCATGGCAAATATATGTACTTTTTTATGGTATTCAAATGGTGTTTATCATTAACGTTTTTATTTTTTATTTTATTGTCTATATTAACTAACTTAATTAAAAGAGAAACCAGTGTCACTAATAATCATTGTAAGTAGTATGTAGCCACTAACTACTATGCCACGAGCATTAGCAATCTATTTCAGACAAGGAAGATGAAATATGCGTTTTCACCTCTTAGGGCTAAGTACAGGGGCCTTTCACAGACTATACTTATACTGTTTCTCTTACCCTTAATACGGAAACATAGAAGCAGTACTTCAACTTGGTGACATCGATATATCTTATACAAACCGAAAAGCACATTTGGACATGAGTTTCCTAAAACACCGATATTAATTAAGGCGAAGTTTTAGTAATTTTAACTTTTCCAACCTCTGTAAATCTATTTGAATGTAATGTTTAGATGACGTGAGGAAAGCAGTTAAAAGGTTAAAACCGCTCTGGTTGTGGGTAACCGCGGCTCGCTTAGAGTGGAGAGCGGAGTCAGCTAACGAACTTGGCAGCGACACTACGCGCGAGCTTATTTTATGTTATGGTAATGTTTTCATACCTCCATACCGCACCATAAGAAGGCCTTAAGTCATAAATCTATTTCATTTAACAGACTGTCCAATATTATCAGCCTATAAATCTGTGAATTAAATAAACGTAGAGTTCTCCTACTAGTGGCAAAGTGCCAAGAACGCTGCATTTCCTTACAGAACTGATGTGCTTAATACTGACTAAACAATATATTATTATACAAGATAATTGAAGCATATATATATATATATATTTATCCATTTGTTTTCATTACATACTACACGGCTTAAATTTTGGTTGATTTAATTTCATTTTCCAGCTCAAATCCTCTTCAAAGGTGGCAGTAATTTATTAACAACATTATTAGTCAATCCCTTTGAAGATAAATAAAGTAACCTCAGTTAATGTAATTTATTTACAAAAGGACTGAAGAAGTACGGTGTGCCAGTCACGTACGGTCAACCTCACATTAAACACTACACAACATAATCTTCAAAGCAAAACCCAAATAATTTTATTACATTTAATCTTTTTTAAACAACTAAAAAGCTCTTTTATTAATTTTGGTTATGGCAGTGTTTAGCTTTAAAATATTAATCCTAATTTTTTTTTACAAAAAAGATGAAATGTTCTGAATCTATGATATTCCATCTTAATATATATATAAATTACGTGTCACGTTGTTTGTCCGCCATGGACTGCTAAACTACTTAACCGATTTTAATCAAATGAGCACACCGAGTGCAGTTTGGTCAAATTTGAGAGATAGTATTTTTTTCCCATGAGTGACCCACAATTTTTTGCGAATTTAAGGATTTTTAATAGGTCATGAGAAAGCGTCAAAAAGTGCAGAACAACGTCTGCCTGGCAAGCTAGTATACTATAAAACGTCTTAATAAATATAGAAATAACACGAAAACTGTTTCTGATGTTAAATAAAACCATTTCTGTCATTTTAATGACATATCAGTTCCGAATAATTTTCCACTATTTTTAAATAAATCAAATCAAAATTTGCTTTGAGAAGGATATCCTGGTCTGACCCACTTAAGTCACTGAGCAACTTTTGAAAATTATCGATAGCAAATGCGTAATTCATGTTTCAGTGCCACAAATGTGACAGTGGCACTGACTCGTCTAACCTACTTATATACAATACTCGTATAACACTTAAGCGATATGATTAGACATGGAAAAAAAAACACAACGAGAAGTAATTCATGTATTTAAACCCAAAACTAACGACTTGTAGACTCAGATGATCAGCCCTAGGTTGTTATTAATGAATATCCATCTACCTGTGCATGTAGCCTCTGATTCCGAATTCTACGGAAAAGTACATACATAGAAAAATAGTTTAGCGGAATTTTTAGTAAATGAGTAGTAACTAAGCCAAGTAACCCATTATTTTTCTAATGTAACAGATAAAATAAATATTGATTAAACGATTTAAGAACTAATGTTTATTTAAACAATTTCATAGTTTTTATTTACCTTCATCCAGTTGACCTAAATTGTTCTTCTCATTACTTTTTTTGCATGTTTAATAATGACTTTTTAATTAAAGATTCCCGCTTCAATTAAATATAAATTTATATTAAATATTTATTTTTTATAATGTTTATTATCAAATTTTTTGTTAATTATAATTATACTTTATTTTAAACTGACTTGTTTTATATTTATATATCATAACGTGTATATCATTTGTTTTGTTCTATTAGTTTTATTTATGACTGGCAAAGAAACCGTACAGGCATTAATTCCGTCTTTGGTTACCTTTTTTATTTTAAAACGTATGTAACAAAATGCTTTTAAATAATAGGTAAATAAAAAACCTGTAACGATAGTGCGAGTATCATACCCGAAGCCTGCAGAACACCTACTTTCCTTGCGTTAGCAGTCGAATCTTAAAATAACAAAGACTTAATTTAATGAATATAAAAAGGTTAGAAAAATAACTTCAGACATAAATTAAAAATAAACTAACAAAGGTAGGTACTTCCTTGTGTTTAATACAAAAAGGTCACGTATCCGTCACGTTTCACTTTTAGCGGTTACGTTACGGCTGCCTTAATACCTTAGAGTAATTACATACATGTGTATGCATAGAGAGATTCTACAATTCTACATAAATTGAATAAATATGGTTCTCTCGCTATGTCTTATTTCATTTTCAAACAAGGCAAAAAGAGAAACTCTATTGGAATGTGATGCGTGTAGTTTATGTATAATCATCTTTGGGCTTTTTCAAAGACATTTTATACTTAAATCTCTTTGGTCTTTTTACACAAGCCAAATGTGAGACTAAGAACACTCGTTATTTTCAGATTTACTAAAAAAAATAACATCCCTATTGTGGTCGTATTATGTGTGACGTTATTTCACAAGACATGACGTCTTTAATCTATAGTTTTGTTTGTATTTTGTTCCTGATCTTAGGAACAATCGACATCGATATACTCGCTTTTCTTTATTTATTATTGATTACTTTATTATATGTCTAAAAATATAAATAAAATAGGAATAGACTCATTATCGAGCCGTGGTCGCTCAGATGGTTAACGTTCCCTGTAAATATAACAGAACGCGAGTAACCCGGGTTCGAACACCGCCGGCACCAATTATATTGAAAATTGCAATTTTAAGTGCTGATTTACCACGTGCTCGGCGGTGAAGAAAAACATCGTGAGGAAACCTGCATGTCTGAGAAATAAGAATACAAAACATTTCGAAGACATTTGAAGTTCGCCAACACGCATTGGGGCTGCGCGGCAGGCACTTCCTTACCCTTAAACCCTCTCAGAAATGAGGGGAGGCCTGTGCCCAGCTGTGGGATGTATACAGGCTGTAACTTTTACTTTACTTTAGACTCATTATCATTCGAGAAATCAAGTAAATTGCTTACTTAATCAAGTGATAATAATTATATTACATTCTTAATATTAAATATAATTAGTCAGCTACGAATATTAAAGTCTTGACAGTCACACGGTACATAATCCAGTTGGATCTCATTTGTCATCTCAATATTATATGCTGATTTACCACTTGCTTAGCGGAAAATAAAAATAATCGAGAAAAATATATCTTGGGTGCAATGACATATACGTATATATAAAAAAACCATCCCCTTTATGCTGGTGATTACTCTGAGCTTGACATAACAAAGATGAAACCATTTTATTGGAATTATGTATTGGAATATTTTTAAACTAGGTATTAATATACCTCAAGTAACTTGAAAAATAAAATACAGGTGATTCTCATCCTAAGCGGAATTATATGTTTCTGTTCTGTTATATGACGTTTGTCATTTGTTGAAGAAGTAGTACATCTTTTAGATTTAATACGGTATGAGTTGGAGAGGAAGATGCCTTAAGGTTAATCAACAAAAAATAAAAAAAACATTCTTCTAAAAATACAAAACAATACGGCTGAAAGATAACATTAAGTAATTACGGACTTCTGACCTCTCTGGTGCTGGCAAACATAATAAGTTACAGTAACAAACTTATTAAATTAAAAACATCCATGTATCTAGCAGCGCAATACCGGCAACTTACCAGAAAATGCTACTTATATAAGGAAATCACAGTATGTTTCAATTTTAATTTTTATGCTTATGTTTCCAATAAGAGCGAAATGAAGTGTATCATAGATTTGGCTGTGTGGCCATTTAAAACTGGTATTTTTATCACTTTACAACCTGGTAAGAAAACTACCCTAAGTGGATTCTTTTAAAATATCCCTAAATATGAATATTTCTAAAAAAAACTAATAGTTTATGTGTGGACAAATTTGTAAGCAAACGCTAGTGAGTGCTAACAGATGTTATTCAGTAAAAATATAACTCTTTGGGACTATAATAGCCACACCATTATCTTTGTCTGATTAAATACTAAATTCCAATAAACAGAGAGAGAGGAATGCAAATATCTGCGTTAGGTAATCCTAATACCATTTCGACGGAATATCGTTACAAGAGTATGATAAATATGCGTTCACTTTCCAGGTGTACAATATCAACTCTGCTTTGGTTTAATAAATAACACATTATACGGAATACAAAACAAATTCAAATATAAACAAGTGGTAAATAAAATTTCTATTAAGTTACATCTAAATCACATCTATCATTATAGCACACCCAATGCGATAGATAAAGCACGATATAAAAGCCTATATTATCTTACTAGCTTTTTACCCACGGTTTCACTCGCGTCGGCTTCAGTTTAGGAACATCATTAAATAGTGGGTGCCAAAATCAACAAAATTCGATCGCAAATTCGTGTCTTCCGATGTATCCATTAAGAAGGTTAAAATCAAAATTTTACTCTTTACATTCATTCATAATTAAATTAAATTTAGTTTTAACAAAACAATGAAAACAATTTAATGGTCGTCAATTAATTTAAGGTATTATATGTTTATTTACGATATTTGATTCATATCCTTGGCCCCAAACAAACAAGAGATGGGCAGCATCATCTTCATGATAACAGATCAAAATAATAAGACCTGCCTTTGCCAAGCCGCCTGCCAAGTGTGGTAACAACAGCGAATATCCAGTCTATTTGACAATCTATATGGGAGGCTTATTTTCAATTCGGTGGACTGCATATAGGCCTGGCAGGCTGTAATGATAACGATGAGTTCTATTCACTTTTGCTACCCTTAATATTTACGCTAGAATGAAAACAAAAATTAACATCTCCGAAAATATTAAAATTTCATAATTGCCCTCATTAAAAGAAAAAAGGTAGAAGCCTTCATAAATCTGACATCGGGTCACAAACTGCAGAGTTTTGGGCCAAAAAATATTCGCTGCGCTGACCCCAACGCGGAATGACCACAAATGGAGAAATTCTCAGATATGCTGGTTTCCTCACGATGGTTTCCTTTACCTCAGAGAAAGTGGTAAATCAACACTTCAAATTGCTATTAAAATATATCGAATTTGTGTTGCTTACAAAATATGAAATCTAGTCTAATCTATCATCTTGATCAGTT